GAGAGAGAGAGAGAGAGAGAGAGAGAGAGAGAGAGAGAGAGAGAGAGAGAGAGAGAGAGAGAGAGAGAGAGAACTCACTTTTCAAGCCACTCCCTAAACCCTTCATTTGAAGATGAAGAGTCACTTGGAAGTATAAGATAAAAAGGCTCCCCCCAAGTTGCTTTAGGTCAGTGTTCTGTGAAACAGTGAAACACAGCAGAAGCCCTTCCCAGGTCCGTTCTTCAATGCTGCTTTGGGGTCCTCAGGTTTTACTTCTTCCTCGGTGGCACACAAGCCTGCTGTTTCTTGGGCTGGCTTGACTTTGGCATCTTTTTATTACTTACTTACTTACTTAATTAATTAATTAGTTAACATAAAATGTTGCTCAAATGCGGCTCAGTCTCTGAGAGTCCCCAAGGGTCCAGGTTAATTGACTCTGTTGGTCTTCCTGTAGAGTTCCTACCCCCTTCAGGACCTTCAGTCCTTCCCCCAACTCTTCCATAAGAGACCCCGACCTCCGTCCACTGTTTGGCTATGGGTGCCTCTGTCTGAGTTAGCTGCTGAGTGGAGCCTCTCAGAGGACAGTTATGCTAGGCTCCTGTCTGCAAGCACAACAGAGTATCATTGATAGGATCAGAGATTGGTGTTTGAACTTTGTAGTTTTTGACATTATAAAGAAACAAATTATTTACCATAGCAATCATTTCTTTAAGAATGGGTAAGCTGGCTGGAGAGAAGGCTCAGTGGATAAAATGCTTACATAGAAGCCTGAGGACTGGACTTCCGACCCTCAGTACCCACATAAATACCAGACGAGCATGATGGCTTGTCTATAATCCCAGCACACAGAAGGCAGAGGCGGGGTCCCCAAAGCAGGCCAGCTAGCTAGACTGGGATAATGCCTGAGCTCTAAGTTTAAATGAAAGACCCTGCCTCAAGATGGAGACTGACAGACACCTGACATGCACGAGCATCCCTCCCCACGCGCATGCACACACATGAGAATATTGATGCACACATATGCATATCACATAAACAAAATAATGCTGGGAAGTGAGTGAATGCCCCAAATCACACATGGCTTTTATGAGCAGTATTTATTGTCCTTGCTTTATATACATTTTGGCCCAGAAAGTGACATAGACTAGGGAAGTCCCCAACCCACTCAGACCTGCGCACTGATCAACAAAGCAGTTTTCACAGCCCCCATCTACCACCCTTATTAAGATGTCCATGAGTTAGGGATCATCAGTATTGAAGGAACCATCAGGTCAGAACAGACGCTTGCAGACAGACTGACAGAGCTTCAAGTCAGGAACATTTTTTTTCCTGAGCTGGGATGTGCACTGGTGAACAGTAGTGGTGAACAGAGAGCTGTCTGAGTGGTGATCACTTACAGAGCACAGATTGCTGTGAATAGAGAAAGGGGATCTAAACAGGGCGCTGTCATCTGACAAGCCACCCAGGGTGCTTGTGGCCACCATCTCCTCACTATCCTTATGGAAGGTGAAATGGACAGCGCAAGGCATGCATCCTGGCTCTTTCCCACGGAGTCACCCTGTGGATACAACTGGCTGGCCTTTGAGAGATGGCTCACTGATTGGAGAAACCCTGTGGGCAGGGACAACAGGTCATCAGGTCCTAGAGCAGCCTCTGCATTAGAACATGAATTCTGTCTCCCTAGATTTGCAAGGCCTGAGACCACTCCCAGAGATCTGTCCCTCTGTTAAAGTGTCCAGCACATTTTACTTAGCTTTCTTCAGTTCTCTCCTTGCTCCTTGCATAGAGCAAGGCCATGAAAGAGGCAGAGGGCAGGTTCTCACTGAGCTTCCCAGGACGGGGCTCTCCTTCCACGGCTCCAGCATCTTCATGCACATTGCAGGGATCACTTTACTACAAACAGAAGGTATTTTAGGAGCTGTGTCCAATGTAGCATTGCAGGTGGGTCCATCAGCAGTGTAAGTGGCCAGAGGATGGCCATATCACATTTCAATGCATAGTCGTGAGTGAGCAAGTTTTGACAAATGCTATGTGAAAATAACCCAGTGCCATGAAAGCCAGAGACCCTTTGTGTGTTTTGTCCTTGTGCACTGCACCACACCAGTTTGTTCTGAGCCACAGGGCATGCTGGCCCTCCAGAAGTGACCAAAGCAAGTGGCTTATGGTCTTATCTGTGGAAGGCTCATAATCATGAGTGGCACAAGTCAGGAGATGTCGGCTTTCCATGCTGTGCCTTGCAACTGTGTAACAGGGGTGTCATGTGCCTAGGAATATACAGGATGTCTTTCTGGAAGGGGAAGTCCTCTAATGAGACAGGACCTAAAATATAAGCACATTCATAGGGTATCTGTCTGGTGTCCATTTTTTTTAAATGACACTGATTTCAAAATTCATTGTTTTCTGTAAGGGACTCTAACCTCAGCCTTGGCCTCTATGGAGTCCTTGGTGGGAGATGATCCCCTGAGCCAGGACTGATGCTCTCCAGAGCTAGAAGATCCAGGAGGCCAGAGTGGGAGGTACTAGAGTTTGGGGCCTTCCTCACAGGTGATGGCAGTTGTTGTGCAGCTAGAAATTGGGAGTAGGGGTGAGCAGAACCTTGGTCTGGGGATGGAGAACAGGGATGAGCTTATGGGTAAGGTTTGGCTGGAGAGATGGGCTTCTGAGCATGACAGTGGTGGACAGACACTGGCAGAGGCAACCTTGCACACTGGGTGGAGAAAACCTAAGGTTATCTGTCCTCTATAGAGTGACATTCTGCTCTGAAGTGTGTATGTGGGGGAGAGGAGAATGAAGTGTGGCAGCTAACTTCCAGCAAACCTCTGTCCACATAGTTGCTTATGGCAGTACATGCAAGCACTTGAATGCAAACGTGTGTATGTGTGTATGCATACACACATACACACAAACAAACACACAAACACACACACAAATGTGTTCACTGACCCCAATGTGCAGCTGCCACACACCTTCACCCTGTGAAAGCTTCATGTCCTTCCCCTCTGGCTCCCCATACCCCAGGGAAGGTACTGGCACATCTCGGGGTTAATTAGAGCAGGGTGGCAGTCCCGAGGAACTGGAGAACTTTTAGCTCTGACCTGGCATTCAGGAAAGGCACACTCCAGGTATTCGACTTTATTTCTAAGTAAAACTCTCCCTCATACACACACAGAAATATCACTGGGACCTGAAGAGGACATCACCACCCACCACCATCTCTGAACAGCACTGCCACGCCATGCTGCCTGGTATGTATTAGGGATTTATCTTTTCTCCAGCTCTGCAGATTAAACACCAGTGCTCCGTTGTGTTTCGCATTAATGCTGGTCAATGATTCCATGTAAACATTCAGTACAGATCATTTTAAAAATTATGTTGGAACATCAGTTAATGAGAGTGGTCCAGATCTTTTGAAGTCCTTTGGGGCCTGAATAACAGAGGGCATTGGGTCTTCCTCACCCCATTCAGTCCTATGAGCCACCGGGAGAGTCCGTTGGGAGGTTGAGGCACAAGAACGACAGTGCCGTTCTCCCTGGGAACACACTCCTCAAGGAAGCTGGCTGGTGCAGGCAGACTCAACAGCAGTCGGTGAGGAAGATGAGGAAGAAGAGCTCTCTTTAGATTCCAGGAGCTCTCACATGTAAGGCTGAACTTCTAATCACTGGAGTGCAGGTCACCAGGGAAAGTACATAGTTAAGTTTCATAGTTAACCAGAAGTACATTTGAACCCAACAAATCTGAACCCCAGCCTTGTCCTCTGTGGAGTCCTTAGGCAACAGATACTCCTGCCAGGGGAGCTGTCGAGACAGAGTAGATAATTTCAGAGGCCCAAATCCTAGGCAGTCCCTCCCAGATACTTACAGAACTGTAACAAAGGATTGCAAGTGGCCTTGTATGACTCCTGAAACTCCCAAGGACTGCACCAGGGTCAAAGAGGCTTGGGTCACAGTGTGCGTCAGAGGGCTGAGGTCCTGAACTGCCTCTGTTCTGTGGTTGCTTGGGGATATTTCTTCAGGGGAAGAGTTATAGCATAAATCACATGGCCACAGAGTGAGCACAAGCATGGAGCAAGGAGATCACGTTGGAACACAGGAAGCAGCCTATTCATAGTGGGTGTGTGGACCTGACTCAGCCCTGCCTGGCCTCATGCTGGACTTTCAATATCTAGTGGCTCCATCAATACACACTGATCTCCTAAACCACACGGGACACTTGGGAAGGTCTCAGACTTTGGGGCCTCACAGATTTGGGGTAGAATCCTACCTCTGAGTCATAGTAATTGGCTTGCTGAGTTTTGGTCTCTACAACTGACAGTCAGAGGTTGCTACACACATCTCTGTGGGGTGTGGGCAGTGACAGGAAACAACAGCTGGAGTCCACTCCTTCCTTCACTCCTGAGGTTGCTGAAACGAGTCTCGGCTTCCTGGATCCCGTGACTCCATGACTCTGCACATCACCTGTATCTTCTGCTAGTTTCTGCCTGTTTTTCAGCTGTCCCCAGTTCCCTTTTTGTCATCTCCTTTCTACCCATCAACCCCTCCATGCTCACCTGCTCTGCCCACGGACCTGCATACCCCAGTCATTGTCAGTTCAGCAGAGGACACTGGACACAAGAAGGCCAACTGGCTTATTTTCTTCTCCAGGATGGTTTCAGATCCACTTAGGCACGTCATGCCCAGGAGGATGCAGGACCTTATCAGGACCTCCTCCCTGTCCTGTACCCCCACCCTGAGTGGCTGCAGGGACTACCTGCACCCGCACTCGGCCACACTCATCCCTTCATAGTGGTACTTGAGGGTTGGCACCCCCATGTCGTCCTTGTAGAGGATGGAGATAGGACTCAGTTTGGTGGGAACGCAGCAGGCTTTGCCCACCTTTGTGGGGAACTTGAGGTGCACCAGGGTCTGCACGATGGCATGTTTGGTGGGCGTCACATCATCAGCCAGTGGGAAGAAGCAGCCTCCTTTACACTCGTAGGCGTCATAGTCCTTGGGTGCAATGATCCAGCTGTCCCAGCCGATGTCTTCGAAGTTCACCCTGAGAGAAGTCTTCTGGCAGTGGCTGCTGGCTCCGGTGCTCCTCTTCCTTCTAGCTAAAAGTGGCCCCACGGCTGTGTGTCCATCCAGACCCTCCTCCTCATGGGTCTCACCTGCCTCCTGGGAAGCACTTTTGGATGTCTTCACAAGCATGGTCTCCTGCTCGTGGCCAATCATCTCCTTAAGTTCCAGTCTGGTCTCCTTGGTCCCATTGCTGCGGTCATTGGAGAAGACAACAAAGAAGGGCAGGTTTTTGGAGCCTGGAGGGACACTGATGTCCAGTGTGTCACAGCCTTCCCTACGGCTCTGCACTGTCACCTCTAGCTTATTTTTGTTGGTCGTGGAGTCGGCCCTGACCCACCGCTTCACAGCACTCGAGACTTCCAAGGTCTCCCAGCCCTCTTCCTGAATGTCCTGGGATACCAAGAAGGTCTTGGTCCCCGAGGCACGGTCCCACATCTCATCAGCATCCAGAACATCATAAATGACCATGTTTCCTTCCAGCCCATGAGCGGAGTCCACATGATTTTGACAGGAGACATAGAGACGGAGTTCAGCCCTGGTGATCTGCTCATGCCTAGGGATGGAGATGTTGAAAATCAGGATGTGTTTCTGGAAGGGGAAGTCCTCTGTGGCAGCTGTCGATATAGCATCTGAAACACAAACATATCAGAGGGCCATCTGTCTGGTGTCCATTTTTATGATACCAAAGCTAAACTTCATGGTTTGCTACGAGGGACATCTAAGGGACATAGATTTTGTCAATATTGCTCTACTCTGTGTCATTTAGAACCTTAGTAGAAGAATATTTGGGAAGGTTCTCTTAGGATTGTTCCAGGAAAAGCAGAGGCAGGTATTTTCAGCCAGGGTTAACAGTGTCTATTATTTATTGAGCATCTACTATGAGCCTGGCCTTACACCATGAGTCTGGAAGCATCTAGCTATTATCCCAGCTTCACACATGTGGGGATTGGTATCCACAGTATCGGATGCACAGCATTGGAACTGTCAGACTGCACACAATTAATTAGCATCTGCACCTAAGGCAAGCCAAAAAATACATTGTCAGCTTTAGAGTAAAGATGCTATAGTGCAGTGAGGGAACACTGAAGTCAAATATTTATTCAAAAATCAAAATAAAAAGTATTTAGAGAAAGCAAAACATTGCAGCATTGGGGTATTAAGTAATTGCAATGGTGTTAATAGCGTCCATAGAAAGTGAAAGTGCATTTTTTTCTTTTAGAGGAAAAAAAGTATCTTCATGTCAACAGCACGTTGTCATGTTAGGCAAAAAACTGGGGTTTTTCCTCTTAGCCTCATAACTGGTTCCCACTTCTCCTGGCTGTGGCTTGACCACAGACATTACCATTTGTGGGTCTGTGCCCACACTCCATCACCGAGTTACACTAGGGAGACATGTTCTGATACACTCACCGGATGCCTGCAAGTACAGACAGTTCTAAGCCCTGCACAGTGTTCCTTCTGTATGCATGCACGCCCATGCCCATGTGCAGTGTGTGGGGCAGGCTCAGCAAGAGCTTAGCCAGGAGTAAAGAAAATGGGAAGTTTAGAAAAATATACCTGTGACAAAAGTAACTTTGAAATTATGAGTTGTTTGTTTCTGGATTCACATTTAATAGTTATGAACCACAGCAGAACTACAGAAACAGGCCTGGGTTCTCTCAGATTTGTAGGGGTGGGGGTGGGGCTCCTGTATGTGGAAGGATGAGTAGAGACCCATGTTACCTTGAAACCTAGCAACTGGTCTGAAGATTGCAGGTGTCAATCCTGACTCTGTCCCTCATTGGGCTTGTATCCTTGGGAAATTTTGAGCTTCTTGGTGCCTCAGTTTCCTCTCCTATATAATAGGGCCCATCTTACAATTTTTATGAAGGTGTCTCATGAAACTTACAGGCCAATCATGAGCCAATAGCTGGTGCTCAGCTAACACGTCTGTACCCCTCCCACCCCATGCAGGCCCAGTGCATACGACAAAGCATGTAGCCCTTTACACTGGCTCTCCGTGGTCCTCTCGCTCATCATTGATGCACTGATCCAGCTCTTGAGGAATCTGGTAAATGCTGTGGCATATCAGACAGTGAGAACTGTGTGTTGCACTCATGGCCAAAAGCGTCCTCACTGAGGCTCCCTCCACAGCGGCTGTGGGATCGCTGCCAGACACCAGAAATCACATGCCCATGGGGATTAGACGGATGCTTCCTAGGGCATGTGTGAATGTTGTTGATGTCGCTGCTGCAGAGTGCATGGAGTAACTGTGTCAATGATGTATGTGTAGGGGGGTTGGTATCTCTGGCTGGGCTTCACACTCTGGCATGTAGAATATGATGACTTAGGCCTCAATTAAAAAACAAAAGCAAAAATAAAACCCAGCCTTTCCCCTAGGCAGAAATCCTAGACAATCCTAGGAGCCTGGTGACCTGCAAATTCTATGTTTTTAAAAATGAGGCCATATATATATGTATGTATGTGTGTGTGTGTGTGATGTATTTATAATTATTTATTGTCATATATATATATATATATATATATATATATATATATATATACATACACATATATATAAAGTAAGGCAAATTCCCTTGAAATTTCTGTTGGGCAGTCAGAAAACTCAGCAGCACTGAGTATGTATGGTGGTCACAAGTGTCCTTAGACACACAGACTCTTCAGGATAGACAGATCTGGCCAGGCCTGGCTGTGGCCCTGAACTGGACACTTGGGCATTTGCATATCTCTGGACCAGAAAGGGAGAGGCCCTGGGCTCCTGGTCTTTCAGAGCAAGATGCCAAAACAGGAGAAGAGGAGCTGGTTCTGTGCAGGAAGTAGGGTCAGTAACGTTACTTTGCAAAGGGTGCCTGACCTGGATTCCTCAGCTCTGGCAACCCAGCTTTCTGTTCAATAACCCGTTCTACCAGATTCTGGTACTAGTTAGTTACAGACCTCACCTCCATGTTTACCAGCTAATCTTCCTAAATCAAGGGTTCTTTACATTGAAAACATATCGGACAAACACACTGCCTACTGCGCTAAGATTGCACATCAAAAGTAATGAGGGCCTCTTCTAGTCCTACTCTGTTAACATTTTAAAATATGGGTCTAAAATGCACTTTATAAGAGAGAATACAGTTTTCCTTTAAAGCTGAAAACATACAAGTTTATTGCAGGCGTAACAAATGATTTATTTCTAAGTCAGAAGACGACAGGAAGATAGGAAGGGAAGAGGAAGAGAAGTGGAAAGAAAAGGGAGGAGAGGGAAGAGGAGGTGGGAGAGAAGAGGGAGGGGAAGTAGGAGAGGAAGGAAGAAGAGCAAAGGAGGCTGAAGCAGAAACAGGGAATTGAGGAGGAAGTGGAGGGAGTGGACAGAGGGAAGCAGAAACCTGGTAAACTGGATATCTACAGGGTTAACTGTGGATGTGCCTCCAGGGAGGAGCCAGGCTGTGCATCGGATCCTTTAGTGTTGATGGACAGGACCTATGATTTGCACTGCCCTGTAGGGAAGCCATTAGCCACACACAAATGATGAACAGGAAACTCGTATTTCCTTCCTGTTTCATTGAGAGTCACTTCAATAGAAACCTGAAGACCTGCTTGTGGTCAGTGGCCATCCCATCTAGCAGAGCCACTTCACTGAGGGGGAAGGGGGCAGTATGTCCCACTCCATGAAACCCTGGAGGAAGCACTATACCTTCCACGCTGAAGCTCCGCACGATGTTGGAAGCAGGTGTAGATGACTTGTCTGTGGTGTATCTGTTATACAAGTCGATCATGTACTGGGGTGGCTCCGCTCTGCTTTTGTCCTGGGAGGGAATGCCACTCAGGTTAAGGCTGCGCAGGAAATCCACCTTCATGTTCTCCAGAAACATCTTCAGGTCAAAGACACCCTCCTCTTCACCTCCAGACAATCCCAGTGAGCTTTGGGCATTTCCCCCAGGGGATGCCTGCCCCCAGCTCTGCAGCGGCTTCTGCTGAGTGGAACAGGCCAGCAGGAACAGTGTGAGCAGGGCCACCTGGAAGGCCTCAGGGGACATCTTGGGCCCTGAAGGGACCCTGAGGGGCTGTTGTGGTCTATCACTAGGTGCAATGTGGAGCCCAGGAGGAAAAGGCCCACATTGTCCTGTTGACTGCTTAGCCGGGAGCTTGGCTGACTCACTTCTCCCCAACAATCCGACAATCCTCTACTCTTCTTATCTGGGTGTGGATGCTGTGCTCGGACCTCTTATCTAAGGCAGCTCTCTTTAATGAAGACTGTATAAACATCTGACAAGCACTAGGGGCTGGTGGGAAGGATGCTGACTACTGTAAAGGATCAGTATTTCTCCGGAGGGTCATCCACCCTAATTAGGATCTTTGTTCATTTCCTTGCTGGCTTGGTTCAGAAGACTCTCTAGGCAGAGGCATAGAGACCTTATTTTGCTGGACCAAAGAAACAAAGAATTCAGAAAATGAGGCTGGGAAGTTCCCCAAATATAGAAAAGCTCACCAAGTACCCAGAAGATGACACAAACTGTGGGGGTCAGGAAGGTGGGGTGATGTGGAGATTGCATCAGGGTTAGATGAAGTCTGGTCCTTATGGTACCAGGACCCGGCAGTGTATCTAGAAACTGCCATCTGAGGAAAGAGCTCCTGAGTACTGAGAATGGAGTGTTTATGGGCCCAGAACATTCAGTGGACCAGTGACTTCCCAGCCAACACATATGATAGCTCCTGTCCTAGCTGTCCCTCCAAGCTGTGGCCTCAGCCTTTTGAGCCTCCTTTAAGAAGATGTGTTTGCATACATGTAGGCCACTGCCAGCTCCTGACAGTGGGTGGTTATGTTCAATCCTCCCTCCAGTGCTGGCTCTGACTGTGCTGGGGGAGGAAGCTCTGTGTCTAGGCTAGCTGCTCATTAGTACTACAAACATACGTATCTGAGGCTCTGAGCTCCAGTCCTGACCCTGGTCTGTGTGGTGCTGTGTATGAGAGCACACAAGGGTCAGTGTATCTGTGTGTATCTGTGTGTGTGTATGTGTGTGTCTGTGT